CGCGTCTCCCGGGTACCACCTGATAGCGCATTGGGAGGCAACCCTTTCCTTCATTTTTTCTTTGGGGGATGGTAATGGAGAAAAAAACTGAAATGTTTTTCCAAAACTTACTTATCCCTCCCCCCCCCCCCTGTCCCCACGTGCCTCATCCAAATGCCCCATTAACTAAGCTGACGCAACAGCCAAAACGGTCTAGCGGTAGTTAGAAACCGTTTCTTTTAATCTATTCGTCCAAATTACGGAAAAAGAATAGTTTGCAGAATAGGCGCTATTTTTCGCGCTTTAAAAGGTGAACGAAGCATGAACGGACGTAGAGCGCGAGAAAGCGCGATGGGGGAAGTCGCGCGTGTCTCGCATTCCTCATTCGCTTCGCGCTTGCCTGCTCTCGCCAGCAAAACGCGGAATACTAACGCCTGTTCTCCAGGGTAGAATATAAACGGATCACTGTCGGCAGAGGCTACCTTCCGCACACCCAGTGTGTTCACAGGGTGTGGTAGCCTGTGTCGCAGACGTAATTTAACCTCGGTTGGTAACACAGCATTGTTCTGTGCCCCCAACGAACTCAATGAATTACCAGAGGAGAATTTCGAATTTCTTTTCAATTAAAAAAAGCTGATCAGGAACAGAGTGGGAACGTGAGTTGACGACTGCGCGCGCACATCAAACAACTGGCTTGAACAATGGCAAAGCGACAAACTTGGAACCGGAAGTCGATTTTAATCCTTTCCGCGCGCTTTCCCGTCGTCAAATGACGTTCCCGTTCGGTTGCTAAATCAGCCTACTGTGATTGGCAAATAGACAATGGCTTTGTTAACAGGCCAATCATGGCGCGCACTCAAATCTTAGTACACAGGTGGGGGCCCAGAACAAAGACTTCGGCGCTCTTTCGCAGACGGACTGACCAGAGTTTAGTTTTGTCTGTGCCGCAGGCTAAGGGTATGGCTATTGGGGTCTAGCTGTGGAATCGTACCTTCTCCTCTTCGTCCTTCTGAAAGTGTGCTTTGACCATAGCAACTCGCAAATCCTCAACACCATCAACGATCATATCAGCTTGCGCTTCATCAAAACTGTCTGATGGAGTTAAACCTGACAGGTATATCAAAATATAGTTTGAAAATCAGGATTTTGCCACCACTGGTTTCCCCGCGATTTGCTGACCTATGGACCTGCGCAGAAATTCCACACTGTTGACGCGACACCACCCAGATTTGACTTGGTCTCTTTTCCAAAACTTAGCTTTAGCAGCATCTTATAATTAAGATGAAATGCTGCTACGGAATAGCCTTTACACAGATGTTGTTTTTCTTTTTTTCTTCGTTTTCGTTTTTTTCGAACGCGGAGCACGAGAAAGAATTCCCCCACCACTACCCCCTTGTGCTAGCGGTCAATAAATCCCCCGCGGTTTATATTTTATCAAGCGCGTTCGACGGACTTAGTGAAGAGAAAATAGAAGGTCTGTGAACAGGCTAGCTACGGAATTAAGGAAGAAATCAACCTTGCAAAGATCCACGCTGGATTCACTGTTCAACAACTTAAAACTATAGTAAATAGAGTGAAATTGCTATGAGGCCCGCCATTATATGCTATTATGGACTTGATGGTCCATAATGTTGAATAGCGATCCTACCATTTTGAACAAAGTATTGTGCACCATCAGGATTAGCTCCTAAAATAAACTGCTGCACCTTTTGTTTGTTTCTTTGAAGTTTGCCTCCTTTCTTAACCAGTCTTGAATTGTGCTCCTCCACTAAATGTACTTAAAGTTACTCTTCAACTGAACGCTATTAAATGGGTTGAGAGAAGAAAACATGCATTGTTCCATATGGAACTGCCCAACAAAAAAATCCAAAGCGGTCGTCAAAGGGTGAAATAGGACCCCTATACTTACAGTACATAAAATTAGAATTGCTCCTAGTAAGGAAATCCAAGACAGTCTTGCATTCTGGATTCCACACTATGGATTCGGGATTCTAGGCACTGGATTTCAGCGTTTGTCAGTGGACCTTGGATTCTAAATTCAAATAGTTAGTGAGATTCTGGATCCCTGAGCTGATTCTGGAGTTCGACCAGCAAAATTTCCCCAGATTCTGAATTCCACAAGCAAAACTTTCCTGGATTATGGAATCCGGATTCCCTTACATGGGGTGAATCGGAAACTCTGAAGAATGTAGTTTTACTTACCTCCTTTTTTGCAGATGTATTTCAGAATTGCACCAGACTGTGCCAGGGTTTTTCCTTCAGGAGTAACAATGAAGGGCATCTGACCAAGTGGAGGCCTGCCAGCTAGAAAATAACAAAAATAACTACAAATTCTATGGCTGGTTTTCACATGACTTCGTCCATTTTTATACTAAACAATGATTGATCCTTCTGAGCTTTTACTTGCAAGAAAAGCAGGAAGTCTTAGAGCAGCTTAAAAACTGATACTTTTTATGAAAAATTTCACTTTGAAAGGATTATTNCTGGATTCCACACTATGGATTCGGGATTCTAGGCACTGGATTTCAGCGTTTGTCAGTGGACCTTGGATTCTAAATTCAAATAGTTAGTGAGATTCTGGATCCCTGAGCTGATTCTGGAGTTCGACCAGCAAAATTTCCCCAGATTCTGAATTCCACAAGCAAAACTTTCCTGGATTATGGAATCCGGATTCCCTTACATGGGGTGAATCGGAAACTCTGAAGAATGTAGTTTTACTTACCTCCTTTTTTGCAGATGTATTTCAGAATTGCACCAGACTGTGCCAGGGTTTTTCCTTCAGGAGTAACAATGAAGGGCATCTGACCAAGTGGAGGCCTGCCAGCTAGAAAATAACAAAAATAACTACAAATTCTATGGCTGGTTTTCACATGACTTCGTCCATTTTTATACTAAACAATGATTGATCCTTCTGAGCTTTTACTTGCAAGAAAAGCAGGAAGTCTTAGAGCAGCTTAAAAACTGATACTTTTTATGAAAAATTTCACTTTGAAAGGATTATTTATTTTGTGAGCAGATATATAGGGTATGCTTGAATTTCAAGCCTTTTGCATGATGCGGTATCTACATGGTGGCTGTGGAACAAATTTGAGGGGGCGGGGGGGGGGGGCGGGGGGGGCTTATTTAATTTCGCAAAAAAAAATGGTATCAGTCCTCCATAAAGAACTAGAATACAAAATAGAAAAGCTCAATTTCAAAAAAAGTTGGAGGTTATGCAGCTGAGGATCAAAGACACTTCGGACATCCCAACAGGTGAATAAACCATCCTAATCCTGGATTAGTCAAAATGAAGTTTGAGTTTATATAATTAATTTATACAGTCTAACTTTTATTGGTAATAAGTAATCATTTATCAGTAATAAGAGGGAGGGGAGGGAGGCTTAAACGTGAGGGGGGCTAATTAACTTTCTTCCCCTGAAAAGGGGGGCGGGGAAGGGGGCACGCTTATTCGAGCGGGGCGTTTAACAAACGATTACGGTATTAGTGATATTGTGATATTTGATCTTAAGTATACGAAGCTTGAACACTCAGCAAGCATGACAAAGCAGTTCGTGATGCATGACCAAGGGTGACCAAGCAGTTTGTTCCTTTTTTTCAGGGACGCGTGGACGTATGATGTCAAGCTTTAAAAATCGTTAACTCGACCTCATTAAATATGCTCAAAGTTCCAAGAAGGAGCTGAGGAGATATAAACAAGATCGTTCAAAAAGCGTTTATCAAAAGTTAAAAATGAAAACCCAGATCATGCAATCGAACGAAGTAAAGATCACTGTCACGAAACCGATCAGGATACATTACAGTTGCGTGCATAGCACTCGTCACTGCTATTTTTTAAAACTTCAGTTTCCTAGCCTGCGTTCCATACAACTTAAAAATTCATTATCACGGAAAACTCTACCAAATTCAATCAACAATCAATGGGTCTTTCGAATTCACCAACTTATTCTTATCTCCTCAGTCTTCTACTCACACTCTTTTTCCTTGAGCCACTCTTCCCGATTCAATCGAATATCCTCGAAATCAATTTTAGCAGCTGCAAAAGCCCATCTGTCCATTTCTCCTCTTGCACGGACTGGAAAATAGTAAAGCTTGTAACCTCCACCAGACATATTTCGTGTTTTTCTTTCCTCTTCTTATTGTCTTCTTCTTACTTCTCTTCGAGGCACACCTGCACCGCGAGATTTTGTCTGTCAGTGAGTTTATACGCTTGGTTCAAGTATGTCAAGTATGTATGAGTCGGCGATTTTTGGCTCGTGCTCAGGCTTCGGACGTCCATGAATGCGGTTGTCACGTCACTGCAAGTCACGCAAGTATAACGGCAGAAAACCAGAGGAAAAAGCAAGGACGAAGGCATTTCTTCTATCGTCTTTATTGGGTTTGTTAATACCCTGGATGCCAGAGGTTTTTTTATCAAACTGTCAGCACGGTTTACTTTATCACAGGTGTTTCGAGAGCGGAGCTCTGGAGCCGAGGACGTTTTTCAAAGGGTCCGGCTATCACTGACTCGAACTCGATCAAACGTGACGGCTCAGTACTGAAAGTAGACATGACTAAGCAATTTGTTTCAGCCGTTTAACCCGTCTCTCTCCTACGCTAGGATAGATATGAAGCGAAAAAAAATAAATACTATGCGTGTTGGGAAGGGGAAAGCTATTTTCGCTCATCCCATTGTCCCCACCAAGACCGCCCTCACCCGCCCCCTTCCCGCAATCTCTCATCTCCTTCGGTGTGCTCATTTTTTTGTTTGGAGCACCAGGGGAGCGCGTACCGCGCGATTCATCTGAAAGGTTGGGGGAAGCAATAACTTTTACAGACTAGAGGAATTTTAATCCACTCGTCAGCAATACCAATCAAGTTCACACTACCATGCACTCAAAACAAACTTATCACCCAGACACTCCCACAACGGTAGCCAGGAGCCCATCACATCACATCCCATTATGGGCTCCTGCGGTAGCTCAGTTTTTATTTAGCACACTAAAGGCTTCTTAAAATAGAATGAAAAGGCTAACTAGCAATGAGTCAGTAAACAGAAAAGCTGATTCACAACTATTAATCACTTGTGAGATTGAACAAATCATGTACCATTATAACAGAAGGTAATAAGTGTCGTCAAAGCTTAGCCTCCCAC